ACTCTCAGCAAGGAACAATATAGGAGGAAGAATGAATGTTTTTGGTGAAGAATTGAGGGAGTTGAGTTGTGCTTAAATAGGCCAGTGGAGAAGAAGAAGACACAGGTTTGCAGCTTCCGTGATTGAGCGACGATTTGGAATCGGCGTAATTGAACAGGGCGCCGTTTGGTGTGTAGTCCCTGATTGGGACTAATTTTGGTCCCAGTTGGGGTACACTTTTTGTTCCAACTTTCTCCAAAATGAAATCCGATTGAACCGTTGGGATCAGACAGTCAAACTCTACATAATGATATGATTTTCATTATTTATTAACAAACTTTAGAATTTACTTATTTTTGGGTCCTTCTCAGTAATTAATTAATTATAAATTAATTAAATCTGATAGGCCTATTTTTGGGGCGTTACACAACCAATAAACCAGTGAACCAGTGCCTTTACCGGTTCGATCACCGGTTCGGTTTTGAAAACTATGCATGTGACATTAATCTTGTAACACCCTAATCCGTCCAGGTCTGCAGCCCTTTTAGGACTAAAGTATAAACTTGGTATTCGTAAACATTCAAAATATTTCAAATATTTAAAACTTTATTTCATAATAAATAATTCAAAATAGTAACGGAGTAATTTAATGTTGCGGAAGCTTAATAAAACATAATACAAACATAATTAATTTATGTCTTTTCAACAGTAATTTAAATGCAAAACACACATCCGTCCGACCTTCTCGTCCCATCTGCCTCCAGGAAATCATTTCTTCATTCATTTTGTTTACCTCCGTGTAGCAAATAAAACATACTACACGCTCAGCGTTTAAGCTGAGTAAGCATATCTAATGCGTCGAACATCCATATAAACTGAATCTAAATTCATAATCAAACCCATTTGATATCATGCACATAATGTTCAGTTCAGGTACTCAATAATCATAAGTCAATATTCAACATTCATTATATTATTTTCACATTTTATCCATCATTCATAATAACCACAATATTCAATTCAATATTTATTCATATTCAATATTCAACCATATCCTTATACTATACTTAGTCTAAGGCAAATCACTTTAATATTTGTCAACCCTTAAATGAATTCTAGTTTAAATTATTAAACTATATTCCAATATAAAGTACTCCTAAATAATCCTTAAGCTAGGCCTAGTTTAAGATAAAAGGGTTTTGAAAATCTTAAACTTACCTTCACTTAAGGCCAACCAAAAACCGACAGCGTAGTGTTCACTGTTGGGTGGGTGGTACCCCCAAACGAGTAGGTACTCAAGTTTGGTTCTTGGATCCCGTACGTACGTTTTAACCCTAGCCACCGGGGTTCATAAATAGGATTTTAGAGCTCAAAAATAGCAATTTCGGGCAAATTTTCGGATCAGAACTTCGGGGGATCGATCCAACCCTCTGGATCGATCCATACCATGAAAATTTATTCCCAGGGGATCGATCCAAGCCCCTGGATCGATCCAGACAGTGGCTTTTCAGCCACTGTTCATCGTCTTCTACCCCGCGACTTCAATTTCGGGAATTCCATTTTTAGGTTCCAAACTTCGATTAAACTATATAGAAATGTTCTCCAAGGTTCAAAGATCATTTTGGCATCATTAATTCATAGTTTTAACATCAATTTAATGGTTTATGATTCTTGGTTCTTCAAGCATGTCAAACACAAAACTCAACCAAACGACCGTTTATGAACGTAGAAACGATCTATACAAACATTCTAGTCATTAGATATATCTACGGGCTTACCTCGAAGCGTAATGGAGGTTTTGGAAATTTTCCGGCGAAACTTCCGGCAAGGATTGTGGCTATCTCCGGCGACCTCACACCAATATGACAGCAC